CGTTTAGCGATTGAATTTAAGAACTATTTGCATTCATTTTAGAATCTCTATCGACTATTAACCTTAATTACCTACTAAAACATAACTAATCAGCCGACATACGAAATCCATTAAACCGGTAACTATCTGCCGATACTACAAGTGGCACCATATTGTTAGATTCCGTTTTAAATATTCAAATTTGGCACCTCTTTGAAAGAGGAACGGTTCCGGAAAGTTCCCGGTTTAGCGCCGGTCGCTCACGCCGACGCCAAAATGGGCCCGAAAGGCCCGGAAATATCGTCGGACTCGAGCGCGGCGAGGCTGCCTGACAAGACCGAAAAACAATTTTTCTAATAATATTAAAAATATTTAATTAATTAGCAATATTGAAAAATTAAAACTCTAGATAAGCGAGATGAGCACGCTTCATATTAAGTCTAAACCACCATATAAATTATCTGTAATAAAATGGTCTAAATACGTTTCAAAAATTAATTAACCGTCATTACTAACTCAAATTATGATCTAAATTATATAAAATATTTACGATAACTGCTTCTGCTTTACATATCAGGTCTTAAGAGTACAATGAGTCTTAAAAATACAATAAAGTTCCAATATATCTCCTATAGGATTATCGCGTCTTAACTAAATCGTAAAAAATCTATTATGCAGTAATAATGATATTAACCGGGCACAGATCCGGTTAAAAATTGCCAAACTGTGTTATTTTATAGCAAGATTAAGTCTTGATGTTTACGCTGATATTCGTATTTATATTCCCAGTTCTCTATAATGTTTAAAAATATTACCAGAACAGCGCATCATTTGATTAGGATAAGACAAAACCAGAAATTACATTTATTTTTTGTTCAACGTTGATCAGTTTAACGCAATACGGATCTGAAAAACGGATTTAATTGTCTTTCATATACCAATATGGATAAACGTATTATCTTATTATAGGCGGTATTTAAGTTATTTCCGAAAGAATGCAGACAAAGGTGGAGAAAATGGTGTCGAAGAAAGTAACAATTATTTTAATATCTGTTGCATCTTTAATACTTTTTGCAACAATCTGTGGCATTTTAGTTGGAGTATTATTAGCGCAGAATTCTAATAGTCAAGGTAAGTGCGTTACCTTAGATTAGTCATTTCAATGTATAAATTAATGCGTGAAAAATCTAGTGATGCTGTTTTGTTTATAACTGAAATTTATTATACCAAATAGTAGTTTCAACGTTACGTACAAGATGTCCCAACTATGGAGTAAGGTAAGTTTTCGCTTAATATGTATTACTTGTTTGAAAACTCATATTATAAACGGTGCATATTTTAAAAATATTCACAATTACACTGTGCGTGAGAAAAGTGCAAGTCTTTTATATTCGAATCCCTATAATTTATTTTATTTTTGAATTCTTATCTAAATTTTGTTTGATTTGGTTGGATAAAGCATAAAATGTGAACAAAAATTGGTTAGTTTATTTCCTATTCGGCTTTAACGATGAAAATTGTATTTTCATTATGTTTCTCCCTCGCCTTTAGTCACGAAATTTCAATATTTGGCAAGAGAAAAACTCATACCTACTAAATTAAAATTTAGTTTGCAAATTATTTGCGTTTGAAATTAGAGGGCGGTCATAATACCCACTCAAATTAACGTTTCGTCAAACTAAAAAATATATTTTTTTAATGACCTCGTATATTCCGCTGTGTTTTATGTAGGATGAGATAACCTTTCATTTTTAGTAAATACCAAATATATCGCAACAATTAATAAAAATCTAATTATCTCCTAAATTATATAAATTATAAAAGATGAGTATACGAAATATTTTCCGGTAACGATGTTTTAATTCAAAAACACTCTAAATTGAATTAATGTTATGAGCGCCCTATAGCGTAAAACACAAATATTATTATGGTATTTGTCCTTTCCCCTGCTGAATTCCAACTTTTTGTTTCTAAAGAGGATGAAATAAATTTTCGATTTATTAACATCACGAAAATACGAATTTTCATCCCTCAAGCCCAATAACTAAAAGCTATCAACTTTTTAGGTATTTACTTTTTGCATAATAAAAAAATTGAACATTACATAACAATTCAAAAATAAAATAAAGTACAAGGTGCTTCTAGAGCAGAGAGTAGAAAACAACTAAAATATAGTTGTTTTCTGCACTGCCACTTTTCTGATGCATGCACTCTGTATAATTGCGAATATTTTGAAAATATGCGCGTTTAGTACCTGTACAATATGACGATGAGAATTTTGAAGCAAATAACATTCAATATTTTACTCTATCATCGGTACATCCTGTACATTGACAAGGAAATTAGAATAGCTTGCTATTGTTCAACAAAGCATTCTTGAATCTGCTTGAATTAATGCTGTCTCGCTTAAGTAAACCGCCTTTGACCTAAAACCTACATTTTTGAATGTGTTTCATCAATAATAATGCTAATATTGTCTGCCAGGAATTCAGAAAAGCCGAAAATAAGCCTTTGTGTTTTTTATTTGTTTTATAATTTAAACTGCAGCTGTTCTGAGGGTATTTTGACATAGAAAGGCTCAGCAATAAATCACTCCCACCAGCTTTATTTTATCAAATGGAATCACATATTTTATACCGGATGATTCAAAAATATTCAGGTAAACTTCAACATTGAATTAGGCCTGGGTAACACTGTGTTAAGTTGCGCTATTGAGTTGTTGTCGCTCTGTGAGTTAACGAGTTATAACTCATCGACTAATGAGTTATAAGTCATCTATTAATGCGGATTAAAGCTTTACGAGACCCCAGACCGGAATTTTAACATCTAAAAAAAAGGTCATCAAATTTTTTTACGAGTAACGTTTTACTACTTTGTCCAAACAACTATAAAAAGGACATCTAGATTTTCTCAGTAACAGAACTTAGTCCAAAGAAAGTCGACGAGTTTTCTTTTAAAATCGATCTATAATTTTTTTTGCGCAAAAGACTTAGTTTACCAGTATTTTACAGTAAATCGTTGGGAAAAAACGCGGTTTTTCTGTTTAGAGAATTTTGTTTGGAAAGATTGACCTAAATGTGAAGAAACCCCAGTTTGCAAGAGTTTTCCAAATAAATGATTATAGACTCGCTCTTTTTGCTCGGGGAAATATTTTTGGAAATTTTTGTCCAAAATTCGACGCTACAAAAGGTTTTCCAACAATTTTCAAAGCGGTTAAGGAGGAGAGTGTTCCAATAAAATGTATCTTATAATTTTTCACAGAAAATACCTGAAGATTGTTAGTAGTTTTAAGTAAAATAAAAAATAATGCATTTTTGCGTAGAAATAATTGCTTAATGATAATTTTACTAAAACTGGAATGACCTGAAATTTTAAAACTACTTTAACAATCTTTAGTGCGATCAGGGCGGCGAAGTTTCCAAATAATTTTTTGCAAACTGTTACTCTAGTCGTTTTTTTCAAAGTAATTTTAATTACCTTCCGTAACAAACCAAATAAAATTATTTGGTTTTTGCGCTAAATTTGAAGCTGAAAAGGGTTTTATAAAGTTCCCTGCAAAGCGATGAATGAGGCGAATTTTCTAACAAAATTAATTTTATCATTTTTGGCTGAAAATACCACATTATGCTCAAAAAAGGAGAAGAAAATAATCAGTAAATATTGTTTTTTGCACTTTTGATTGACAACTTTCAGAGTTGTCAGTTAGAGTTAATGGTTTTTGAGAAAACCTTAACGACTTTCGGGAAACAAAGTGAAAAAACTATTTTCGTTTTGTCCCGAATTCGACGCTGAAAAGTTTTCATAAAATTCACTTTTTACAAAGCTATAAATTTATTTTGTAATTTTTCGCGTAAAAGACCTCTAGATCGTCCGTATTTTTAAGTAAAACTGTACAAAATAAAACGGTTTTTTGTAGAAAGTAAAGCAATAAAGATCAGTAAAAACTAAAAAAACCATATTTTTTCAGAGGAATGGAGGTGACGAGTTTTCCAAATAATTTATTATCAACTTTCGCTTATTATGTTCGTTTTTTGATAGAAAAATTTTTGATACGTCCCAAATTCGAAGCTGGAAACTGATTTGAAAAAGATTGTCAATATTTTTAAGTTAAACGTGAGAAAATTGAGCGTTTTGAAGAAAGAGTAACTAAAACTAAAACTGGAAAACCCTGAAGTAAAAAAAAAAATGTCTCCAAAATCAGTAGTCATACTGTTATTTTCAGAAAAATATTAAGTCAAGGTATGCGCTCGTCTGAGTCAAAAAGTGTTCTCCAGCAGCTTTGTATATATTAATAAATTGTCACATTTTTAAATTAAACTTTAACATCTACCTATGTATTTTCGTATCGAAGTCCGTAAAAACCCGTGTTTATTAAAACGTGTGATCTTGAGATTTAAGGCCCTTGTTTATTAAACATTCAATATAGGCCTCGGTAACTCAGTGAATTTTTAGGAGTTGGCGCAGTGTTGCACAAATGGCTTGGTGCGCCAACACAACGCATCGGCGCAGTAACTTCGTTGCTGGGAAACTTGTCACCTCCATTCCTCTGAAGACTGTAGAATTTGTTAAAAAAGGTGTTTTTTTAGTTTTTACTGATTTTTCGTGCTTTACTTTCTACTCAAAAATGTGCGATTTTGTACAGTTTCACTTAAAAATACTGACGATCTGCGAAAAGCAAAAAGCGAAAAATTACAAGATAAATTTATAGCTTTGTGAATTGTGAAAATTACATTGCATGCAACAAGAGCATTCAGAATATTTTAGGGTGCAAGATGAACAATAGTTTTGTCGTGAAAAGTACACTCTGTCTCTCATATTAAATAATTTGATAGCTTTATATTAAAAAAACTGGCATTAAAAATCTATTTTTAAACACATTTTCAGATTGTGCAATTAATCCATTTGAAGT